GGCATTGCATTGTTCTCATTAGGCAGACTAAATATCTCTGTATTCAAATGGAGTTGTGCAAGAAGACACTAAAGAATTGGTTACAATATGTTGGCAGAGATGAACTGGACAAGAATCGACATCAAATAATTCATCAGATCAGTGCTGGCTTGGTTTATATTCACGACCAAAATTACATCCACCGCGATTTAAAGGTAAGAATTTCCCTACATACAAACATATGAATTCAGATTCAATAAGATCATGGCTGATTTGATTACTTCATATACTTTGCAAAGTATACATATTCTTCATACATTCTTTGCAAAAACCTTAAATACTTTCATATACTGCCTACCTACAGTAGCCTTTGATCCCTTGCTTGAATTTCAAAGGAGCTCTTTTGATCTATTTTTGATATAATTACAGTCTAGACCCAATAACATTTGAATACACAAGTCTAGTCATGTGACCTCTGGGAGGAGCCATTTTGTGAATCTTGTCTGCTCTCTGTTGAATATCATTTAACTTTCCAGAACAGGATGCAGTATTCCATTTGGGGCTGAACCAGTGTTTTACACAAATTTAGGATAATCACCATCAATAAAGCCTCAGTACTGTTTGATTTATTAATCATTCTCTCAGCATATCTAATCACTTCCAATGTGACTTAGACAGCTGTACCTCCGTGTTCCACTCTCCTTTATTCCCCCTTAGAACTGTATCCTTTTTTTGTGTGATCCTTCCATGTTCTTCCTATCAAAATTTCACATTTCCTTGTGCTATTCCCATTCCATCAACTTACCTACATCTTTTGCAGTTCTGCTGTATCTTCTGTAAGTTTTGTATCATTTGCAAATTTTGAAATTGTGCCCTGTACACATTGGTCAAGATTATAAATATATATCAGACAAAACAACAATCCCAACAAAGACCCTGGCGATCTTCACTAGAAAACGTCCTCTAGTCTGAAGACATTAGCCACTCACCTCTAGTTCTTATCACTGAACCAATTTTGCACTTGTGTGCTACTGATCCTTTTATTCCATGGGGTATAAGATTTGTCACAGGTCTGTTGTGTAGTACTGTATCAAATGTCTTTTGGAAATCCATGTACTGCACGTCAATCACAATACCCTCATCAAACATCTCTGTTTCCTCTTCAGAAATCTCCAGCAAGTTGATTAAACGTGATTTGCTCTTAACAAATCCACGCTAGCTCTCCTTGAATAACCCACTTTTCCCCAAGTCACTACTAATTTTGTTCTGAATTATCTATCGTTTCTTGAAGCTTCCCTGACCTAAATTAAACTGGCTTGCAGATGCTGAGCTTACCATTGTACATATTTTTGAACAAGGCTCTAATGAGTTTTTTCTTTCAATGAAGTGACAATATATATAAGTCGCACAATGAGAAAGCCATTTTGTTGATTGCTGTATAATCAGTTAAAAGCTTTTTTGCAAACAGACTTCCACTAAAAAGCATCAAACTCATTACATGCCATCAACCACCCAAGCTAATTAACAGCATTACTCTATAAATATAGAAAGCACAACTTGTTCCCAAGTACAGCTTTATCTGAGAAACAGCCTCCTAGAAAATTGACTTCAAGAAACCTCGCAGCCTGCTGAGAATCTTATGATTTACTATATTCTTCTTTAAAACTTAAAAAATTGAAACCTTTTAAGAAATCATAGGATTACCATGAAACTAATGGGGGATAATTGCGAACTGTAACAGTGTAACACCTTCATCCATATCTTACTTTTGTGTGCGTAAGATGAGTGTGTGAAACATTGTGTCATTTTCAGATTAGTGAGTGACATCAAATAGCCTTTTCCTATTTTTAAATTCATAAAACCTTGTTGCTGGAAAAACTTAATTGGATCCCACATTACAAGGTTAAGAAATTACAAATATCTGTAAAGAGACACATAAGTAAATAACTTACAGATGATCTCATGGAATTTCAAAGTGGTTCTCCCAACTTTCTGTTGCAACTATGTCAGGAACCTGTGAGTAATGACAAAAGCTGCTTGTCATATGTCTACAAGGTTTCTGCTGAGTTGATTACATGAAATAAAGGAACTCACATTAAAAAAAAATTGAGCCCAGATCTCATTTTCCCATGAATCCATGAACTAGGTTAATGGTCTATTTTATATTTTGCCTAAATCAAGCTTGGATAAAATTACTACTATGACTCTACACCTCATAAACTCTAATATTACAATAACAATGCAACTTTGCCCTATTAAAACTTCAAGCAGGAAGTTTGTGATCTCTTATCTTCTTTATATTTTAATCCTATCTTTACAGTGTAATGCTCTAATCTAATCAAGGATTTGTTCTGAAAGTCCTTGCCCTTCAAGAATGTATGAAACCCTCATTATGCATTTTTCCATATTCTTGTGGAGCTTCTGATTCATATCAAAATTACCAAATGACCTTTCTTTATGCAGCTCTTAGAGTGTGTTTGTGGCCTATTCTGTCATTGGAGGAAGAACACAGCTATGGTCCTGTTTAATTCAAATATGCATTTAGCAGCCAGTTGCTAGTCAGAGAGCCTTTGTTTGCAATTATATCCCAGAAATGTCACCTGCAGCAGTTCACAGTAACTTCTACTTATCTGTATGACTCTGTAACACAGATCAAATTGCTTTTTGATAATGCTTGATGTGGTGTCCCTGATGTAACGTTTTTGACCTGATCTCCTTTCTCTGATGTTCTTGACTTGCAATTTCTGCTTTAATGCTCTTGATCTGATATTGCTGATCTCAGGATACTAATTTGATATTTCTGTTCATTCCCAAAAGCCTGCCAATATTTTTTTTGCATTGGACAATAATATCAAAATTGGAGATTTTGGACTTGTTACATCCTGGAAGAGAGAAGGACTTGAACAGTTTTCTCGGTTTCCGGAAGTTGGAACTCGTCTATACATGGCACCAGAACAGGTTTGATGACGTAGAGAATCAAGTTGTCAATAGAATGTCTCTCCAATACTTTTAAAATTTGATCTTTAGTTGTCTGCAGTGCTTACAGCATACTTCAGAGTTTCCAAATTACTCCCTACTCAGAATTCCAGAATGAAGTTTACATTTAGGACCTTATTCCTCTGTTCTATCCAGTTCTTAGTGCATGCATGGCACAGACTGGAACAGCTGAATGGATAATACTCCATTATTGATCATTTCCATGTCAATATTACTTTTCATCATTTTTCTGATGACTGAGCACAGACCGATGTGCCGGTAATAAGTCAAATGGGATTGTCCTATTTGGTAGGACAAATCTGAGTAATTTTCAGTGTTGTTGTGGAAATTTTGGTAACATAACTGAAGTGGAAAGACTGCTATGTGAATGGAGCAGAAGCCTTCAGTATAACCGTGAGGATATGATTAGGACTCAAATTCATTTCTGTACTCAGTGCCGTTGGGAAAGCATGTTGGTGGTTCTCTTCTTGTCACAAAAAACCTACAAAGTACTTAAAGCTAATTTGAACATTATTGACATTGAGCCTTATATTTCTTGTGCATTCAAATGATGCAACTTTAAGAAATTGAATGAATGTGATATTGGAGAATTTACACTGAATCTTCTTCTTATATCCAACTTTTTATTAATTGTGATGCAGTTCTAATGTGTGGTTTTTTAAAAAAACATTTGATTGTAGATGTCTGAAGTATATAACCACAAAGTGGATATCTATTCCTTGGGTCTTATATTATTTGAACTTATGTCTCCTATATTGCAATTTGGAACAAATCACGAGAAGCAGAAGGTAGGTTTTCATCAATAACATAAACTGCATAAGAGAGAAAAAAGTTTAGCAATCTTGTTCAAATGCACATTCTTTATACTCGATGATTTGTGTTGACACACTGTTTAAAGATCACAACATTACCAAACTGAGTTTATATACAGCTGCATAAACATCTGTAAAGTTTCTAGCAGGAGCTGCAAGATATGCTGGGTTCAGATTGGGTCTAGGAGTGATGTCAAGGACTTGTACAATTTAGATCAGAACTCAGCACTATTGATAACTGGCATTCCTGAGGCTCGTGTCAAGTGACAATTTATACAAATTGGTTAACAGCTCAGTATTGAGCATAGTTTGGTACAAGTCCAGTCAGGATGAGGATTGATACAAATTGCATCTGGGTTCAGCATTAGTTGTGGGTGCTGTAATGGGTGAGGGCTAGTACAGATTTGGTCTGGGTGCAGTGTCAGATGAATGGAATGTAGATTGGGTTTGGATGTTCTTGTCAGTTAAGAATTGATGCAGACTGAGTGTGGGTGCAGTTCTGGTCGCAGAATGGACTTTTTTTAAAGTGATTTTTTTAAGTGTTTTAAACGCAAAAACTGAGATTAAAATTAAGCCATAGAGAAATAGTGGACTTGTTTCCCTTGAGAAACATAACAAATGTTTAATTCACAGTCTGCCAAGGCTAAATACTTTCTTTCCAACAGATATGGACTGAAGCGAAAGATTGTAGTTTTCCCACAGAATTTATAAAGGCATTTCCCAAAGAGGTAAGATTATTGAAATGTGATTTGGAATTTGTTGAATTAAAACCTGTCTTTTATGCGGTAATTAATGATACTTCTGTTTATACTTTTGGAATGGTTCATGGTTTGGAAATGGTTGGGGCTACCCAGATGTTAGTGGTCAGTTCAGGCCTTGAACACCAAAGTCAAAAGAAGCTTCACTCATAGAACCATAGAATCCCTGCTAATCTTAATATGTTAGTGAATAAATGTACTACCGAGGGGTATACAAAGATAAGTTGCCTCTCTTGCATTTGTCGTACTGGATTGGAGGTCATACATAAGAAGGGTACTTTTTTCATTTTGAATACAAGCAAGTTCTAATGTAATTCATTGTTTAAGCAATACTCTAAACAACAAACAAGTAATATGCATTACCCTCCTCCTCCACCAAGAAGAAATATTGGTCTAGGCAGTCTTTTCTGCTGAGCGACTTCATTACTTGTTACTCCACAGTGTGCCTCCTTTATACAGCATTTCAACTTAGAAATGTGACTAGTTTGTAATATCATATGCATAAGACCTTCAGATTTTAGCGAGCTCCTCTCAGACTCCAGATGGCTATGTTATTCAACATAATCGTTTACTTAATTATGTATTGTCATTTTTACACATTTAAGAACATAATAGACACACGATGAGAATATTCATCCCTTCAAGCTTGCTTCACCATTCAATAAAATCCAATAAGATCAATGATCTTCTATGTCAACTCCAATGTCTCACTGTTCCAAATCCATAGATGCCCTTACCACCAAAAATCTAACAATTACTGTCTTCTCAATGATTGAAAATTCACAATTCACTAACGTAGAAAATTACAAAGACCCACAACCTTTGAGTAGAGGAACCTCTTCTCAGTCCTAATTGGCCAGGTTATATATTGTAGTTCTAACCATAATGATTGAGGTATAGCGCTACCACCAATCCCCCTAATTATGTTGTTATCTAGTTAGCAGTGCTAGAAATGCTCTTCTGACAGCACTTTTCAAACTCATGATCTCTGTCATCTGTTGTGGTACAACATTGAGAGGTGTGGTTATGTTTCTAATGAGAAGTACACAAGGTGTCATTTTTAAGGGCAGACAAATTCCCGATCTCTGCGCCACTACAAACTGATAAACTCCAACGATCACATATGGGTATTAACCACACTTAGTGATTGACCAGGAATTTTGTCAGGCATATCTGCTCACCAGCCAAGTGAACATCAGGAACTTCTCATTCCTATAAGATTCCTGCCCTCTCATAGGTGAAGATTGGTTCTGATCCATTCCAAATTCTTGAAAATGATGTAGCTTGTTCTAACTGATTACTTTTTAAAAACATCTAATGGTTACTTGTCACTTCAGGTTCTATGATAGCAAATATTTTCAGTGGGATCTTCAGTTTATTCAGCACACCATGATAACTTGATTTCAGCCAGATGGCCAAGTATAAAATAGATGCAATTCCTTTTCTTGACAATAAATTGTTTACATAACATGTATGTTTGTAGATCAGAAAGTTTGATTTAGTCACTTTATATTATTGTGACTGAAGAGTCTATCTGTTACTGTTACTATTTTGTATCATATATCCATCTATCCCTTGTTACTATTATTATATGATTAACTTTTATCTATTTAAGTCTCTCACATTTTATCTCACATAAAGTTGGGATCATCCCAAAGATCAGCTGCTGATGACTTAGCTCACATGAAGTTCATCTGTCACCGTGTGCTTTCTGATCCTCATTGGGACCCTTTCTATCCTGGGGTCTCCTTCATCCTCACAAGCCTTTGAATATTTGTGCTCATTTAATTCTGGATCCTGGAGCTCCTTGATATTTGCGCCCCACTGTTATGGTCACACTTTAGGTTGCCTAGGTCCTGAGCTCAGGAATTCTGTCCCCATATCGCTGAACCTCTTGATCTGACTTTCCTCCTTGAAAACCACTTTTAAAATCTCCTTGCTCATCTGACATTGTCTCTTTGTGTCTCCTTATGTGACTTGGTGCCATATTTTGTTTTATTATGCTCCTGTAAAAGGGACCTTTTATGATGTTAAAGGTGCAACTATTTTTTGCTATTTCCAATACTATACCTGTAATATTCACAAATTAGTAAAGTTGCCTCAATTGCAAAAAGATGGTCAGAAAATGTAACAATAACAATCATAATGTGAAAAATAGGATGCGCAGCCTTCCTAGCCTTAAGTTTCCACGATTTTATTGTATTCACTCATGGGAATGGGAGCTTGAAACCAAAGAGTAGGAGTACAAAAATGGCATGAGAAAAACCCAGACTTTCAGTCTGAAGAGGAGCTGTCATTAAACATACTGGCCACTGCTAGCAACACCAGCTGTTACTCGGTCATTCCCTTAATGGCAAACTAATACAAATAGAGATAAACACCTCAGCAGTGGTTTCATTGATACCCGAAAGTATGTATCAGAAGCAGCTGAGTCACATTGCTACATAGGTGAAGTGATGCCTTGGAAAAATATAGGAACATAGAACAGTACAGCACAGGAACAAGTGTATCAATGTGAATGTTCAGTTTTACAATCAGTCAAAAATGTGTTGTCCTTACACATTGTCAAAGGAAACCTTTCAGCTTTATTGGGAAGAATGTGGTTGGAGAAAATCATACCTGACTGTAGTAAGTCGCTTGTCAGATTCTGAGACTGATCTATCACAAATTCTAAAGAAACATGCCATCATTTTTAATGGGATCCGGGAAGCATGGAAAAGATCTCTGTCAAGTTGAAAATCAAGAATGAGAATGAAGCCAAATGTTGAAAGGCTGGGTAAGTGCCTTGTGTAATCGTACAAAGCTCAAGCCAGAGTCAGAGAGACTGGTCATGGTGGGAGTCCTTGAATCTGTAAATGTGAGTAATTGGGCTGTGTCTATTGTACCAGTGAAGAAAGGTAACCTGGTACACACCTACAATGATTTTAAGATCGCTATTAATCTGATACTGTGTGCTGAGCGGTATAATTGGCCTTTAGTTAATAACCTATTTGTTGAATTAACTGCAGCTCGGCTTTTCAGTAAAATTAACCTTAGTGAAGCCTATCTCTAGTTGAATATAGACAATTGTAACACATAAAATGTTCAAATACAATATTTAATACAATTCAATACAATTTGGGATTCCATTTGGAATCACATTTGCACCTGTATTATTCCAACATGCCAAGGATCAAATTTTAAGTGAGTTGGAAGGATTCCCATGTTACCTAGATGATATTTTAATCATTTAGTTCTTTTTGATGATGTAGTATGGAGAACACCTTTTGGCAGATCAACTTTTGGCAAGCAGAACAAATGAGCCAGAGCCAACATTAGTTGGAGATCCACAACTGTGTCAATTAGAGCCCTGGATATACCTGAGAACAGAACAGTAACTGGAACATCTAAGGGAGACAGTATCTCAGGATACCTCAACACATTGTGTGAACCTCCGAACAATCATTGGGAGGTGATGGTCTATTAGTATTATCGTTAGACTATTAATCCCAAAACTCAGCTAATGTTCTGGTGACCCGGGTTAGAATCCCACCACGGCAGATGATGCAATTTGAATTTAATGATAAAAGAAATCTGGAATAATTGATGACTGTGAAACCTTTGCTGATTGTCAGGAAAACCCATCTGGTTCACTAATGTCCTTCAGGGAAGAAAATCAGCCATACTCATCAGGTCTGGTTTACATGTGACTCCAGACCCACTGTAATGTGGTTGATTCTCAACTGCCCTCTGAAATGGCCTAGCAAGCCATTCAGTTCAAGGGCAGCTGGTGATGGGTAATAAATGCTGGCCAGCCAGCAACACCCACGTCCCATGAGTGAATTTTTAAAAACTCAGTCATTTCAGGCCAAAACAATGACAGTTAATGTTCCTAGAACTACTAAAACACGAGAGGTTAAAAGCAGTAAGGAAAATAAGCAAATGCCTGACGTATGCTTCAAGTCACACTGGAATCATCATCCCCTGGAATGTCTTATGTACATATATGTTATATATGTGATTGTAAATATTATGAATGTTTTCTTTGCAGGATCCTTTGATAAAAAGGAGGAGGGATATTGTGAGAGTATGTTGGACTGTCTCTTAAAGAGTCTGATCACATGATATCATGATGACATCATTTTGGAGGGAAACAACTCAGTCTAACTTGCTGCCTTGAAGTGTGAACACCTCCACTGTAAAGCTCTCGATGTCACACCGCAGCTTCTTACTCCTTGAACGTAAAAGGGGCAAGCCCAATAAAGAGACGTGTAAGGATAGAATTAACTACTATTGGAAAAGGAAGTGTATTGTATACAGGGAGACAATGGCAGTCATATCTTGGAAAGAAACATTAAAACAATGTCTACTATACAAAAAAAAACTGAGCCAAACAATTTATTCTAATGTATATAAATGGCTACATGAGGGTGCTATTCACTCTTTCATTCTTAGTGACTATGTTCCATAATATTTAAAATTGATACACCTGATGAAAGGTCTAGGTCTGAAACGTCGACTCTTCTGCTCCTCTGATGCTGCTTGACCTGCTGTGTTCCACCAGCTCCACAACATACTGATTTTGCCTTTGCCATTCAATTAAATTTTGCCTTTCTTCATTGAAGCAGGATGATATGGTGAAACTGTATTGTGTTTAACCCATTCATTTTCATGAAATTTGAAAACTTTTCTGAACAAAATTGAGGTCCATTGTCAGTCATAGTTTCTTCTTGGAATGCATAAACAGCAATCGAATTCTGCAGAATTTTGAGACAATTAATGTTTGATTGTCTTCATCTTAACTCCATGGTTTTCTAAATGTTGGAGCACCTTTTGAGCCTGTCAACATGGGTCTGCCTAATTGGAAATGAAATAAGTATGTTGTTCACATAACACACTAGTCCTTGAATTACTTGGAAAGTTTGGTTTATCACCCTTTCAAAAAATCTGGGGGCTGAAGAAACACTGAATGGCAACCTATGTAACTGAAATAGACCTCTGTGGGTTTAATAGCCAAATATGACTTTGAATTAACATCTGAATCAAACTGTGTAAGGGCATTTGTCAGATTTAATTTTGAAAAACTCTGACCTCCTGATAACACAATGAATTGATCATGATTTTCTGACTTCATAAATCCCACATAATCTTACATTAGTATTTGCCTTTTGTACTACGATTATGGGAGTAATCCAATTACTCTTTTCAACCTTTGTAATAACATCTTCTGCCTCATCTTTTCAGGTCTTATTCTATTCTTTTTCCCTTAGAGCATAGGACACTGGGAAAGAGCTGCAATAAACAGGCGTGTCATTCCTCTGAACCCAGATGTTAGCTTTATATCCTTGAATCGGATGGCCAGTTCCAGTAACACATAAGAATACATGGTAATACATTGTCTTATGTTGTGAATTTCATTTTCATACAAAAAATCTCATCCCAATTTAGACATTAGTGTTTTTTTACCAGTTTCTACTGAACTAGGCTGGTTACTGACTTGTCACCCTTGAGTTATTTAACGCATTAATTCTTGTAAGAGACTGGAACAATCACCTTTCCCATTATTTCTGACCTCCATAACTTCTTGATTCTATGCATGACTTCTCTGACTGATGGTGGATCAATTTTTGACAGTATATTAATTTAAGAATCATGTCCACTGATGCTACTGTGTCAACCTCCATGTCCATTGGAGTTACATCCAATGTTTCTTGGATGACCTGTGAATTTTCATTGAATATCCTTGTGCTTCTTTTTGTATAGATTTCAGTTGATCCCTTATTGACCTGCAGCTGTTCAACAATCATTTTAAATGACTGCCATTTCCTTCTACCAGTGTTTTCTCCTTCTTCTGACATGCTGTGGCGAGATGGCCCTTCTCTTTGTAATTATAGCACTGTGTAGTCACAGAGACAATTCTGTTCCCAATTTTGGCCTAAGTATCAGTAATAGGACTTTGTGACAGCCTTCACTTGGGCCTCTGACCTATTCAGATGGGAATTATTTGCTTCAGCAGACTTCTGCCTTCTCACCTGTATATTGCAAGCTTTGTTGAATGTTAACTTTGATTATTTCAGTAACTTAAAACAAATCACAGAAGAATCCATGCATTGTTGAAGCAGACTATTCAGCCCATCAAGTCCACAGCAACCTGCTGAAGAGCATCCCACCCAGACCCACCCCATCCCTGTAACCATGCATTTCCCATGGTTAATGCATCTAGCCTACACATCCCTGGACAATTTGGCATGCCCAATCCACTTAACCTACACATCTTTGAACTGTAGGAGGAAGCTGGAGCACACAGAGGAAACCCAGGCAGACACAAGGAGAATGTGCAAACTCCACACAGACAGTTGCTTGAGGGTGGAATTGAACCCAGGTCTTTGGCACTGTGTGGCAGCAGTGCAAACCATGGAGCCACTCTGCCACCCAAATATCCTTACTTTTTAAGCCACACACAAATCTGTCTTGTACTGCTGTCTCTTGAAACTGTCCACACTTACAATAGATGAGCAGCTTTTTCAAAGCTTTCCCCAACCGCCTTAATAACAGACAGGTTAGCAGGACTACATAGGATATTACTAGCAGTAAAAGGCTTCACATACACACTGAAAGACTCTCGATCATAACTGCATTCCCTCAGTCTGCTAATAATATGTTGATGCAGACCTCTGTGAAGTTCAGTCTATCCATGTGTACAAATCAGACAGTGTCTGGGTTGCAAAGGCGTTATATTCTTGAGTACGTACACAAGTCGATTTGTACGCAAGTCAGAACACAATGCAGGACAACATAAAATTGCCATTTGTAAGCGTGAGGAAATGTTCACATGTTGGATCTTTAAAATTAATGTTGGTCTGTGCTTGGTGACACCAATACTTGCATGTTATGTGCCACTTTGAATCACGTGTGCAGATTTCAGGAGGACATAGCCAGATTTGGGAAAGAGATCAGGACTGGGAGTGGTGAAGAGATCAGGAAAACTCGTGAAAAAGTGGAAGTGAGAAATCAGGATCTGGGAGAGCACAGGAGTGGTGGGGACAGATGACAAGGAGTGCCCGGCCCAGTAGCTGGGGGGTACATGGAGACAGAAGGGAAGAGGGCCTCCTGTGCTCTCCTTCTCTTCCCTTCTCATTTGGGACTTCCCCATCATTCTGGACCCATATCTGGCATCCCTCTACCCACCACCCATGCCTCTTCTCCCCACTACCACATCTCATGTCCAGCATCCCTCCTCCCACTACCGAAACACTCTTGTCTGCTTACGTGCAATACTGTATGTGCCCAGTCATCACATGTAAAGTCTACATGATGATGTCAGCGCTTGGAACCAAGTTCCCAATGAGCGTGCTCACAGCTGTCAGTGTTACAAAACACTGTCTTAATATTAATACATCCCTGTATGGGATGTCATTCATAAGCAAAAACGTTTATAGGTCGGAAGTTCATAAATTGAGAACTGCCTGTAGTTCAGTGCCTGTGACATAGCAATAGTATGCAGGTTTGTAATTTTAATTTAGAGCCCAGAAGCCTGAGAGGGGACCTGATTGAGGGCATGAACAGGTGGATAGGAAGCAACTGAACTTCTTAGTTGAAGAGTCAATAATAAAAGGGCATCATATTAAACTGAAAAGCAGGAAGTTCAGAGGGGATTTGAGGAAATTTTTTTAATCACATGGTGTAGACAGTGATGGGCCGAACAGCCTCTTCTGAGCAGTATGCTTCTGTGAAAGTGAAGTTTTCCCCATTAGTTGATGGTTCCAGGGATGAGGAGTTGTATAAATAGACTGGAAAAGCCACATTGTTTTCCTTGGAGAAGAGAAGCTGGAAAGGAGATTTGATTCAGGTGTTCAAAATCTTCAAGGGGCTGGAGTGGAGACCAACAAACGATTCCCATTCGTGGAAGGAGCATAAGCCTATAGAAAGTGCTGCCACCATTCAGGGAAGTCTATGGGTCTCCAACTCCTCATCCTCCCGCCTACATCCATCAATGTCGGACCTGGGTCTCTTTCAGGGGGAGCATCGACACGCAGCGGCCACGCCCCGCCGTGACGTCAACACGCACCAGCCCCTGCAAGACGTCACGCGGGACGGCCGTTGGACGGAGTCACGTGGAGAGCCCCTCAGCCGGCAGGATGTTTCCAGAGCTGAACGACATTCTCCATACAACTCCGGAAACTTGCGAGCAGGTAAAGCGCTCCTTGTTGCAACAGGTATTCTGCTGGTGCATGCGGTGGGCCGTCTCTGGGAGAGGAAAGCCTGCTCGGCTTTGGGGCTCCGCCGGGAGTAGGAGAGGGAAAAGGGTTTGCTGTGGGGTTCTGCTTGGGAGAGGAGAGGAGAGGAGAGGGGAGGGGTCGGGTCTTGCTGTGCAAGAGTGGGCAGGAAAGGGACTTCCTGTGGGGCTCTGCTGGGAATTGCAGTATCATTACAGTGCAGAAGGAAGCCATTCAGTCCAACATGATTGCACCATCTCTATTATCTAGTGGTAATCTCCTGCCTTTCCCCTCCATATTCCTGCACACTGTCACTATCCAAATAACTAAACAATGTCAAATAAAAACTGAAAGAACTGCGAATCATGTAAATCAGGACCAAAAACAAAGTTGCTGGAAAAGCTCAGCAGGTCTGGCAGTATCTGAGTTCTGAGAAAGGGTCACTGGACCCGAAACGTTAACTCTGTTTTCTCCTCCACAGATGCTGCCAGACCTGTTGAACTAAGTGTCATCTTGACTGCTTCAATTGAACCTGCCCCCACCACATTTTCAGATGGTACGTTCCATATCCTAACCACTCATTGTATGGAAAGTTTATTTTTCCACATGTCAGTCTTGCTTTGTTTGCATATCGCTTTGAAGAGACAGGGTGACTTGCTGTGAGGCTCTTCAGGGAATTGGAAAAGGGAAAGGGATATGCAGTGGATCATGGCTGGGAGTGGGGAAGGGAGCAGAGGGCTTCCTGTGGTGCTCCAATTCATTGTTTCTATTGTCATGTGTACCAAAGTACTGGTGGGACAAGTTTTCTGTGGGATTCTGCTGGGTTTGGTTAGTAGGGCTTCGTGTGGGTTTATGATGAAATCGGTGTGAGAGCAACATAAAGCAGAGTGCAATTAGGCTATTTAGCTTCTCAAGCCCTCTCAGCCATTCCGGATCATAGCTGATCATCTACCCATAAAATGTAGGAGTAGATGCAGACCATTGGCCCATCAAATCTCCTCCACTAATCAATGAGATCATGGCTAATCTGATAATCAACTCCAATTTCCTGCCTTTTCCTCAGAATCATCGATTTCCTTACTGATTTAATAACTGTCTATCTCAATCTTGAATACGTTTCGCAACTCAGTCTTGACAGCTCAGTGTAGT